GAGGATTGCTTCTCACTTAGCTTCATCCTGGTACTAATAATTCTTCCTTGGAAGACAAAGAAGTGAAATATTCCTCTGGAAACAGTGTTGTTACTTTTGCTTTTAACCAGGAAGTGATCGTAAAGTGATCTTACATCTGAAAGTCTTTTTTTTCCCACCACCAAATCATGCATGGTACTTTTTTATCTACCAGTTAATCACTTGTGGTTTCTAAATGATTAATTTACAAATAAAGCCCATTAAAGGCAAATGTTGTTGGTTTGTCATCTATCATCAAACTTGAAACTGCTGTTACAATTTGTTTGTCAAGCTGTGTTGGTACCTGAACAATTTCAGTTAAAAGTTTGCCCATCAACTCAAGTAGTTGTGCTGCGCATTCTTTTTCTCCTTGTATGCATATTCTTCCAAACTTAGTGGTTTTTCTCATCTGAATTTAATTTCTCTTGACCTCTTTGCTGTCCATTGTAACTAGAGGATACAGGGGATTTACCTCAAACCTTTCCCTTACCTTCCCTGTGTTCCATTTGCTCCTCTCCTCTTTATCAATAGTATAAAATCTGTAACATTTCTATCTCTGTCTTCAGTTCCAAAAAAAAGTAATGTTGGACTCAAAATATTAATTCTGTGTTTCTCTCTGCACAGATGCTGCCAGACTGCTGAGTTTCTCCAATGCTTCCTGATTTTACATGGTAAATTTGCCTGGGCTGGATTTTTGGCATTAAGGTGGGAAACATGAGCCAGGTGGACTGCAGTGATTCAAAAACAAAACACACCGCCACCTTCTCAAGGGCAACTAGGGATGGACAATAAATACTGGCCAGCTAGCAACGCCCACATCCAACAAACGAATAAAACAATGTCTGTTTCCGTGTCAGAAACTGACATAAGTTTGAATTGTTGCAGGTGTTGAGCACTGAATTTATCAGTGTTGAAAATACAAAATCTGACCCAGATTTATTTGTTTCATGAAGTACATTAGAACATAATTGATACTCTATTTAGACATTTGATAAAGAAATCATGGAACTGGACGGAAACATATGCATCATATTGACAGCACTGGCATTAAGTGAATGCAAGCTGAGGGGGGCTTTGCGAGCTTCCTCTTAGTAACTCTAAAAATATTAGTGGGTAAATTGAAATCCAAAAGATTTGAAAATGAAGTAAGCAACTGCGTTCATCATTGCTTATTATTTTCAAAATCAACCTGATAACTAATGTCCCATTAAACTTAACATTTTCTTTCTGTGAAATACAGCAACAGCATTTCACTTTGTTTTGGTCATACATTTTCAAGGTCAACTGTTATTCTGTTTCAGTCACTTGAGATTGTGGACTATGACAAAACATTCTTTTTTATAGCTATACGTCATTGTCCAAATGTAGGAATCTGTTAACCAGAAGTTGATTTCCCAGTACTCCAGGACTCAGTTCTTAGAACCTAACATAATGTCTTGTTTTATAATTATTTATTCTAAAGTCTCACCCATTCAAAACACTTCTATTCCCTTGTTGCTACTGAAGTTATTCAGTTTGACCCAATAGCAGTACAGGATAAACTGAGTAAATGTCACCTAGTCATTCTGCGTATGGGTTGTTGCAGGCTGTGTTCTGTTCTGTGGTGGAAGTCTGTAAATTCTAGATCTTATTTGCAAGCAACATCAAGCAGAAGGTGGGATGCTTGCCAAAGGAAGGGAGGAAAAATTGAGGGCCAAGTCAAGCTGCAAAGTTCTTGTATCCTAGCATTCAACTTAAGGGTGATATTGGCAGAGTCTGGGTCTGCCCTCTCATTCAGACAATGGAGCATGTAAATAAAGGCTTTGAAAATTTGTATATAGAAAATGCTCACATACTTGATTTTGTAAATTCCAACAATCTAGCTGATTGAGATACCATTATAATTAAAGAAAAGAAGAAAAGTGTTTGCATTTATAAAAGATAGGTAGTATTGTCACATCTGAAATAAGTTAGCAAGACTGACAATGTTGAAATTTTAAGACAGATGTAGTTGATCTCAGTTACACAAAATGATTATGTATTAGTCACAGGAAGCACTTTGCCACACAAGAACCAAATGTAATCCTGAGCCTTATGAAGGAGCAATATTTCATATACCTCTTATGAAGAAGGGAATCAGTCACAGAGCAGTGCCACCAGTTGTAGCACTAGCTGGAGCCCAACACTAGTACATGGACAGGTCAGTCTGTAGATGCCAAAATCACAGTGACCCTGAATTTCAAAACCATCGATTGTTCTAGGTTTAGTACAGAATGTTAGTGATTTAACTCAGTGCACTATATTTGGGATATTAAGAATCTGCATTGAAATGACTTGATTGCTTCACCATGGAACAAGCAAAGCAGGATGAAAATTTGATGGTTCTGAGAGGAATAGGGGCATCACAAAACTGCAAAGAATAATTGTCTTTGATGTTTTGTGTCAAGACCTGAGAATATACATGAACAGGAAAGGATTCCATTCTCTCAATATGCAAATATTTTTGTGACAGTTGGTGCATTATGCAAGATTGTTTCTGCCTTCCTGACAGTAGTCATCTGAATCCTGTGTCAATCCTCAATGCTAAGACTATACCACTCAGGCCATTGGATGTTAGTTAGTTGCTTGGGATGATGTGGGGGGTTGGGGGCAGATGGGAGCTGCCCATTGACCACATGGCTCTTGATAATTATTGTGATGAACCAGAGCACATAAACAGCCCACATTGATCATTGACTTTCTGAAGCAGCTCCACTCTCTGTACCATTCTGTGCAGAGGTTCTGCAATATAGCCTAGAGTTCCTACATTTGTCATCTTCTACTGCACATACCAAAACTTTCCTCATCGAGCCAATCTTTGGAATCTCCAGGAGATGGAAATGTGCATGACCCTGAAAATGATCAACAAAATGAGGATGAATAAAAAAAGTGGGCATAATCAGTGATGCCATCTTTCAAAGCTGTGAGACTAAATAATTATGGCGACTTCAAGATTCAGTGAAAGAAGTCAATTGAATACAAAATTGACTGGACAGTAGGAGACAGAGGGTATTGGAAGAAGGTTATTGTTCAGACTGGAGCCCTGTGACCAATGGTGTCCCCCAAGGATCAGTGCTGGGTCCACTGTTGTTTGTCAATTACATAAATGATTTGGATGAGAATATAGGGGACATGGTTAGTAAGATTGCAGATGACACCACAACTAGTGGTATAGTCAACAGTGAAGAAGGTTATCTAAGAGTACAACAGGATCTTGATCAGCTGGGCCAGTGGGGTGAGGAATGGCAGCTTCAGTTTAATTCAGATAAATGTGAGGTGTTGCATATCAGTAAGACAAATCAGGGCAGGATGCATACAGTTAATGATAGGGCTGCAGGGAGTGTTGTCGAACAGGGAAAGCAGGGGATGCAGGTACATAGTTCCTTGGAAGTGGTGTCACAGGTAGACAGGGTGGTGAAGAAGGCATTTGGCACATTTGCCTTCATCTGTCAGAGCACTGATTACAGGGGATGGGGCATCATGTTATGGCTGTATTAAATATCGGTGAGGCCAAATTTGGAGTACCGCGTACGATTCTGGTTGTCCAGCTTAGGAAAGATGTTACTAAGCTAGAAAGGGTGCAAAATAGATTTACAAGGATGTTACCGTGACTGTAAAGTTTGAGTTATAAGGACAGGCTGGTTAGGCTGGGACTTGGAGCATAAGAGGATGCGGGGTGAGCTTATCTGTGCCCCTTGGATTTTATAAACTTCTATAAGGTGAATATCCAAGGTCTTTCTCCTAGTATAGAGAAGTCCAAAGCTAGAGGACATAGGTTTAAGGTGAGATGGGAAAGATTTAAAAGGCACCTGAGGGGAAACTTTTTCACACAGAGGCTGATGCATATATGGAACGAGCTGCCAGAGGAAGTGGTAAAAGTGGGTACAATCAAAATATTTAGAAGACATTTGGACATGTACATGGATAGCAAAGGTTTGGAGGGATATGTGCCTAACACAGGCAAATAGGACTAGTTCAGTTCAGGAAACCTGGTCTGCATGGATGATTGGGCTGAAGGACCTGTTCCATCCTGTATGACTCCATGACTCCAGGTCTGGCAGCATCTGTGGAGAGACAGAGGAGTTAACGTTTCGAGTACAGTGACCCTTCTTCAGAACTGATGGTAGGTAGAAGTGGTATATAAGCTGAAGACAGGAGTTTGTTTGGGTGGGGGCGGTGTGGGAGGTAGTAAACAATAGATGGAGGTGGAGCCCAGAGAGTAAGAACAGCAGTTGCACAGACAAAGAAATGGATAATAGTGAATTGTAGAAAAAGAAACACTGATAAAAGGGATCGTTAGACAATGAAAATCAGTTGACTCTGATGAAAGAAACTCATGTCATGACAGGGCCAGGGTTGTCAGATGGTAAAAGACATGGAAGAAGGTGTTCAGGCCCTAACATTATTGAACATAATATTGAGCCCTAAAAGCTGCAGGGTTCCCAAACAGAAAATGAGATGCTGTTCTGCCAGCTTGTGCTGAGCCTCATTGGAGCACTGCAGCATGCCTGATACTTCAAGTTGATAGAAATGTTGACCATGAACACAGTAGTGTATTGAAATGGCAGGCACTGGAAGCTTGGGGTCACTTTCAGCATACAGAACATGCACGTTCTGCAAAGCAGTTACCCAGTTTGCATTTTGTCTCCCCAGTGGAGAGGAGACCATGTCTTGAGCATGTAAGTGATGAATGAGCTCTGCTTCCAATAGATTCATTGATGAAATGCTTCCATTTGTCAGTACCATCTGTTTTCAAATGATATATGATGTCCATATAATGAAAAAGTATTTCACAAAAATAAGCTGTGGTTTCAACAAAAAAACAAATTACTGGATTAGTCTACAAAATTTCAAACTGAAACATAGAGTTTTCAACTAAATTGCAGTTCTGAATCAAAGTAGCTGGTATAAATTAATGAACTGTGAATAAAATGGTTAAGTGGTGGTTAAGGCAAAACAGCAGATTTGTGGTTATTCATATCAATTTATTACCAAAAAATCTAGACTAAGCAATATTACTTTGACCTGCAAAATGTCCTGCTTGTACTTATTTCTTTCCAGATTGGTTGGTGCAGTGCTCAGGCCCGACAGTGTTCTAAAAATCATATTGTTAAAGCTATTCTGAAATGGCTTTGATAAAGTTACATATGTATATTTATTGTACTACATTAAAATCTATACTTTGTAATGAAACAGATTATTACCTGTATGAATCCTTTACTCAATGTCTATTTGCATAATCAGGTGATTTACACTGATACAAGATTTTTGCATGTTTCCTAAGTAAAGGCACTAGCCTCCAGTTTATACTTTATCCAGCAAATTGCTTAACAGGATTATACAACAGTGCAAGTTATCACACAATATAATATTAGTCTAGTCTCATGGGGGTGGGGTGGTGGGGTAGTTACAACTGATTCCTAAACTATTGTAAACATTATTAGTGTTTTCAAAAAAGACAGTCACACACTCGACAAATATAATCAAATGATTGATACTTAACATGAATGTTACTGAGACAATTTTGGAAGTGAACCCCATGTTGGTGAGGTTTCAAGGATGTATTAATCCAAACTGCTAGTTCTGAAGAAATTCAGATGAGAATTTGAAATGCAGCTCATGGCTATTGACATCTGGGATAGTCAGACAGAGAAAAGAGCTTTGTTGTTTTATCATTTGTCACTAAATATTAGATGATGTTCAAATGAAATAAAGTGAAGGGAAAATGCCTGTATCTTACATAGCACTTGTCTACAATGATCAGCAATATTTTTAATACATTTTACAAAAGTATTCCTATTCATAAAGCCATAAGACAAAAGTTGCCATAGATATTCCTCTACCAGCCCAAGTGCAAATTCCCATTCTTTGTAAATGATCAAAATAAGGCAAAGTGCATTGTGATAGGTTGAGCTTCTGTATAAAGTCAAAATGCAAAAATAATCTTGTAGGTGACTTGATGACCATTATCCCATGCATACAGAACTTTCTCTTTAGGATTATAGTCAATCTGTGTGGTGTAGGTGTATTCATTGATGAAGGGTAACTTTGGATTTATTTCAGTGTTTGTGTGAGTATCATATGCATAAGACACTTGGCCTTCTTTCTCATTATAAGTGTCTACTGCATACATAACACCACAAATAATGAAACAATTACCATAAGAATTACGCTTGAGGCCTGTTTTCCAAGTTGTTTCCTTCTTCATTGAAAGATCAATAGGATCTAATTTACTGATGACTATGATTTCATGCTGGCTGTACTCATAATAGAAGGCAGGATAAATAACCCACAGGCCACCTTCATCAACAGCAAAGTCAATGTCCGAATGTCCTCGCCATTTCCATGGTGTTGTATCTTCGTATACCACATCAAGAAGAAGAGTCCAGGCTGCTACATACCGCTGCTTAATGTCATATTTAATTATATTTCTGGTAAAAGCCCTATTGTAATAGAATGACCCATTGTAAACAACATGTCCTGTTCCAATCCAGTTATAAGGAAGCTTGTACAGATTACTCCAACGCCCTATAGGAAAGGAAGATAAAAATATTAAACCTACTGATTAATGAAGTCACCTAAAACCAAATTACATCTAGATTTAACAAGCAAATCCTTTCCATAATATGGTGCCAGTTGGAGCCAAATTGGGAGTGTTCATTGTTCCATCAATATGTAGAGGGTGTCCTTGAAGAATGCATACCTAGTAATTTGAACTTAGAAAATTTAGCATTTACAAATAAGACGACAATGTAGAAAAGAATTAGGTGCAATATTGAACATAATTTGATTGATGATCTATCAGGTAAAGTATCATTTTTAACTGATACAATAAATAGAGAACCATTATCTTAAAACAACATGCAGAAAATTTGAGGATCATCACTACATAGAAAGTTTCAATTACACTTCTCTGTTGCTTTGTAAAGCATGTTATATCTCACCTTGTTTAAAGTTTTCAAGGTTCCTGAATTCTACCAAGTTGTTTCCATAGTAATAGTTTGTCACATAGATCCTGTCATCTTTTGCTATAGGATCTTTCATCCAGGCACCCTCATTGCGGCCATAACTGTGATGGTTCTCAGGAGGTTCAATCATTGATAATGTCCCATAACACTCACCTTCTCTGACTTTAAATAAAAACAAGAGTACTATGAGTGAGTACCACATAACTCCTGATATAAAGGAAGCATGATGCTCTGCAGTGGCATGCTGCACTCTATACATTTATGATACTGCTTACAAATTGTTTTTATTTGATTAAATGTGAAACAGTATAAATATTTAAATCATGAAAATTTTGAAAAAAATTTGTCTATACTGAAGCAACAAAATTCAACAGTATAGAGCAATGCAATATCAATTCTAGAGGGAAAGTAGAGGCAGGGCCATCAACATTGATCTCATCATCTCTTACTGTTGAGTTAAGAGGAACATTTACTTTGTCTCCTTGACATCTCAGTTTGGCATGGTGTATTGCACAGAATGACCAAGAGAGGAAGAAAATAGATGAATGAAACTAAACTCCAGATAATTAGTTTGTTAATAAAAGCTAGCAATTTGTAATAATAAACAAATATGAAAATAGTAAACAAATATACCATACTTAAATTTCAATGTGTGATTAATAATGTGGTTGATATTTGAATTAAGTGCTATTGTCACCTGATTATAGTTCTGTGAAGCACCTTGGAGCATTTTACTATGTTAACAGGCTGCATAAATGCAAGTTATTGAATTATATTACATTCTTGAGAGGGTGGTTTGGCTAGTATCTTGGAAACCTTGCATAAGATTGCATTAAAATCAATAAAAGGTAAAACTGTATAAAAATTACATTGTGCGATATAAATATACCTTTATTTGGACCAAACGACCGAGTGCTTGCCCCCCTGTTGGTGAGCATGGTGGCACCTATGGAGCTAAAGCTTGTGGTTGCAGTAGTAGTAGCCGTAGCATGACTTGTGACAGACAATGGAGTAGCTGTTATATTGCTAGTGCTCCTGTCAGCTACTTCAAATTCATAAGAAATCTGAGTTTTTTCTGCGGTTCTTGATTTGTGATCCCCAGAACGTGAAGTTCCTTTAACTGAATTATCTGAAAGTGGTTTAAAATATAACAATGTGGCTTAATTTCAAACTATAAAAGAAAAGTATCACTTTGAATTATACAAATTTAATAGCGTTTATTTCTTTCTATTGTTACTATTCAGAGATGCTTTGCTTAACATAGTAAATTATTTTCATTATATCATGATTCTAAAGATACTTGAGGTTTTCTATTTTATTATTTAACACTGATTTTCTGTCTCTTAAAGTAAATCTGTGGAAGCACAGATATGTTTTGGTATATTTGGTGCCACTGATTTATACTGACTTCAGTCAAATGCCATTTTTATCATCTGTAATTCTGAATTTTTAGAATTTGTTTTTGGAGGACTGCATTTCACAATTTTGTCTATTTTCCCGTGAAAAGTAAAGCCTTGACTATTGTTTTATTTCTGTACTGTAAAGCATTATTATAGTGTTTGAATTATTCTCTTTGCATATTTCTGATCTATAGTTAGGTCTCTGAGGAAGAAAACCAAGTTTCCAAAATGTGAAGGACAATGCAAATTCCTCTGCCTTAATGAATCTGATACTACCTCTTAGCTATGGTTGAACACATCTCTTTGGTGAGGATTTTTATGTGCCTGGATTGACAGGCTTAGATGAAGCAATTTAGGAGGCTGGCTTCAGTAAAATTATTGATTGGATCCCACTGCCAGCAATTATGTACCAGGGACCCTCATTTTGTGCCAATTTTGGGGTCCTAAAGATCACAGTAAAATCCTGTCCTTTCTCTCAGTTGAAAATCCTATGTGAAAATTGCTTCAGTAGTTTCAGTGTAATTTGTACTGGGCATATTCAAGCATAATTCAGCATAAAGTGTCTGGGCTATAGAAATCCATGAACAAAACTTGTTGAACATTGTTCAGATTTCTGTGTGATTTTACTTTCTGAAATGTTAAAAATAAGATGCAAGTCTGTCTTCTTCTGAAGCTACTGACACGGTCTTCTGAGCAAGTGGCAAAGCCACTCATCTGAAGCCTTCAGAGTATATATACTAATTGGATGCTGACAGCAACATTATAAGTTTTAAATTTTTAAAAAACACTGAAAAATTATAAGTAGAGGACGACGAAAATAAAGGTAATGTGTAATATAGTGATTGTAACGAGGTCAGCCAGGTGGACCTCATAGAATATGAGTTACCTGATCGGGGCTGTTAACCTGGTCCAGTCAGGTAGGCCTGGCTGATAGATATAAACAGCAATGTGAACCATCCTGTTCACTCTGAGAGCTGGCTCTGAAGAAGCCGGATCAGTATCAAGTACTATGCATGTGTAAATTAAGGGTGACTTGGTGACGGGAGTTATTTCAGTGGCAACAAGAGAAAAAAATTATGCTCCTCAAGAAGTTCGCCCACAACAGTCATCTTTGAGTTAGGGCAAGCATTGAGAGCACATGCCATTATTTGGGAAGCTAGACTCTGTCCATCCTGCTGTCAAATATTGGGCCCAGTATATGGAAAGAATGTGTTATTTTTTTCCAGAAAAATGACATTGGGGCAGATGAAAAGAAATGGGTAATTCACCTGACAGCTGTGCACCCACAGGCTTTTTGGTTATTAGGAGCCTAACATTTCCTGAGGTACCAGATACTAAAAACTTTCAAGAGCTGACAGATTTAGTTGAGGAATAGTACAACCCCAAGTCTCCTCTAATTCTGGGACATTATCGGTTTTACTCGGCAATTCAAGAACCGGGGAAATCCACATCGGGATTTTTGACCAGGTTAAGATGACAGGCAGAAGCATGTGACTTTGGTTTAACCCTTATTGAGATGCTGAGAAACTGTTTGGTATGTGGGATTAATGATGTGACCATTCAAAAGTGCCTACTAGCTGAAGCCCAGCTGGACTTCAGACAGGCAGTACAACAGGTTTTGTCATTAGAAAATGAGGCAAGTGGTACATGTGAGTTACAGAGTATGCCGATAGAAGTGGACACCCTGGCCAGGCTGACTAAGCTTGGGGAACACCACTTGAGTGAAAGCAATTGCATAGCTTCACTCAGGACATGTCCTGAAAAGAGGGACTCTAGTTAAGACCACAGCAAAACCCCAAAACAAAGACAAACACAGCTCCATACCATCCATCATCCAACAGCCTGGCTAAAAGAGCAGTCTGAACTTTTAAGGCGAGCTTAAAGAAACTGCTTACAGCTTCACTCAATACCAAACTATCCTGGATCCTATTTGATTATTGGACCACCCCTCATGCAACTACAGTGATAGCTCCATCAGAGTTGCTAATGTGGAGAAGATGCCACACCAGGTTAAATCTGATCTCCCCAGACTGGGGGTTGGTGGTGGAGGGGTGGGTGCGGTGTGGGGAGTGAAATGGCAACAGAAACACCAATGCTGGACACAATAACCCTCTACACAAGAGAGAGTTTACTTTAGGTGACAAAGTTTGGGGCTGAAAGCAGGGAAATGGCCCAGCATGGGTAAGAGGGATGGTTGATGCAAGGTCAGCTCCCGTGACATACAAAGTTTGGGTAGGTGAGTCAGCACATGGACCACATGAAAGCTGCAAACTAACAAATAGGCTAAGAGCAAAACATACCCGGCCCCTCAGCACAGCCAGAATGGCTGTCAGAACCTTTTGGGTTCTCCTCTTTCATCTGGCGATGAAGAAACCTCGGAGTCCGAAATGGACATGGCGGATGTCACAGCCTTGATGCCTTTACCGCCTGATGAAGAGGATGAATTTCTTCCCACATACCCTGGGTGCAAGAGGTGGGTTACAGTGTGGTACATGCAGCCCGTATCTGAGGCTGAGTTACAGGAACCAAATCAGGTGTGAAAACACAAGGACAGGCTATGAGAGAAGGAATAGGCCTATATCCCTGGATTTAGAGGGGAAGGGATGTAGTGATTGTAATGAGGTTAGCCAGGTGGACCTCATAGAATGAGTTCCCTGATTAGAACTGTTAACCTGGTCCAATCAGAGAGCCCTGGCTGACAGATATAAACTGTAGTGTCAGAGGTTCTGCTCACTCTGAGGAAGCTAGATCAGTGTCAAGGACTTGATTTGGTGATGGGATACTGTCCTGTCTGGAGTTATTTCATGTAAGGCCAGAAAGAGCAGGAATATTCTCTAGGTGCCACAAGGAATAGGTAGAGTCCATCAATAGTTAGTGCTCATTAACATATAATGGATAAGATGAGGTGAAAGCCATTTGACTTGTCAGATCCATTTTACCATTCAATAAGATTATGGGTGATTTTCTTCTCAACTCCATCCCCCATAGTCTCTTTGAACAACCTCCACTTCATTCTATCAATACCCACTCCTTGTTCTATTTAATTTCAACTGACAAATTCTACAAGCAAGCAGGAAGTAGACCATCAGCACAGCAATGAAGCCTGTGGTTATAACTGTTGTGGCCTTGTGATGCTTCTGGGCAAATAGGAAATTAACTCTGCATTGCAATTTCCTGCTGGAAACCCACTAGGAGTTAAATCCAACTCTGACATATTTGAGGACTTTAAACAGTGACCCTGCCATTGCCAATTAATTGTAACTTAATCACAAATTAACATTGGAACTTTGAGCTGTGTCACTGCTTGAACTATCTTACCAGCTTTGTAATTGGTTATATCAACAGATAAATTATTTAATATTCATAAATATTAAATGCCAAAGGAGAAAATGTGTTTATCACATCTCAGTGCAGA